ATATCGGAATCAAGGTATGTTTTCAATTCGATAATAACCAACATCGCGCTACTGGAAATCCGTAAGCGCGCGAAACGTCTGCGGGAGAATTTTATTCGCGAAATACAAAAAGAAATAAAACAATACAACATCCCACTCGGAGAATATCTCTTCGCAAAGATGCATTAAGAGATCAAGAGAAGTAAGACGCAGAGATGAGATTGCATGAAGAACAAAACGCGCCGTGAAAACTACGTAGCCACGACCAGAGTCCGAAATTTTACGAGCGTCCGTGAACCCGATGCGCGAGGCTGAATAGGTCGCGAAATGCTGGTAATGCACCAGACGCGAGACAAGTCGGACAGCTGTCGGGGCGAACATGCACCGAGATCATAGCTCGACAAAAATTTCTGGCAAAGTAATCAACCGCTGAAAAGCAGAGGATCTTGATCCGAATGTATGGCTTAGAGCACTCCATGATAATCACGAGAAACATTTCAAAGATAGGAAAATAATATTCAATTATTTTCTGCTTTTAAGAGAAAAAGTATCTTGAGAATTTTTCGAAGTTAATTTTAATCACAGAATCTTCCGAGGATTCAAAGTGATTTCTTTTTAGAGGAGAGTATTTTCTAACTTTTTTCCATTTTGTGAAATATTTAATATTTTACTCTGGCAAAATAATTGAATCTCGAATTCCAAATAAGATAAAGCAAAACCACGCACAGATAATTTTGCCGAAATTGGCATGCGACTTAGTCAACCGTTGGCCAACCCTATGAGCTAAAGTCAATAGGTAATATTGCCTGTTTAGAGCGAACCAGCCGGCCGTGGAGAATGCTTCTCGTTTAAAATGAAACGCCACGCCGCCACCCCCTTCAGGCATTTCCGGTTCTCTTTCGTTCATTTCCGAGCGCGTTTGCATTCCGCAAATTTTGTGCTATTAATTACTGTAAATATGTGAACGGTGTCAAAAATTAATAACGTTTTGCTACGTCCCTACATCCCTAGTAAAATTGATACGCGAGACAAAATGATGGAAGAGAATTACGTTGGGTTGTTATTTACATGTTTGATCACGGTAAGCAATTGTTTGGGAATTAACAGTTCGACAAATCTGTATTCTACGTAAATCTGTTATTACAACGTTAGACAAATGTTACTGCGAATTTTGATGCAAGTTTATATCTCTGCAATTTTAAATACATCAACGATTAATCTAAGAGTAATTGAAACTCGATTTCTAATTTGGAGAAATAACAATCTCATAAAAAACCGTCATAAACCTATTTTTGAAAATGTATATTCCTGATATTTCCGTAAAAATATCTTTTTTTATCTCTTAATAAATATAATAGAGAGAAATTCCCTTAAATATCCTCTCCTGCCCTTTTTATCTATTTATCTACATAAAAGCCTACACATACACGTTATTTTACGGCTCCTAGCAAAACCCACTATTTACGAAACGTAGCGCATACAACCTCCGCGGTTCTTACGGCGCGTAATATTACTTAAGTGCACGGAGCCGACTTAAGTAACATACTGCATTTTTCAATAGCGCAACACCTGATTTGCCCGAGCATAGACGCGTTCTTTAAAAGCGCCCATTGTTGACGGGGCTGAACATTAGTTCAGCTCGGGGTTAGGCGTTCAATTGGAAAATTCCTCAGCGAAATGGAAGGCCGCGAAGAGGGCATCCTCTGTTTCCCGTCGCTTCATTTCGAAGCCTCACGTCACACTCGGCCTCCCCAGTAACGGATGAGACTTCTTCGAGGACAAGTGATTCGTCTCTGCTGTTTCTTGCGCCTCTCTCCGCCGTCCCACTGTCACTCGCGACACACCAGTCTCGCTTTCAGCACAGTCTCGGACACCAAACGAGGACCGCGAAAATAGAGGGGAGAGAGAGAGAGAGAGAGAGAGAGAGAGAGAGAGAGAGAGAGAGGGAAAGAAGAGGACGAACGCCTCGCTGAAATTAGAGTAGGACCTCCCCTAGATCTGAAGAGCTTGGTTCAGCGCACTCATCAACGATGCGACCTCTCCAATTTTCTCCAGCCCTCCTCCACGCCGTGATTTCACCCTCCAGCGCTGTATCTCGCCTTTCTCTACCATCCCTGTCACCTATATTCGTTCGTTTCCTACCTTTGACTATCGATTGTTGCCGCGCTAAGCTACGTTATTCCGAATGTGCGTCGCGATAAAGTAACTAATTGCTAGTATGCTCTGCGGTCGTAGAGTTTCGAGCACGCTCGCAATAAGCTACTTCACAATATATAGATAGCAATAACTTACGTTAGCGCCGAATATTGCTCGCGATAAGGCAACGGATGCGCATTGTGCTAAGTTACATTGGCACTAATATACTTTACTTGCCGCACGTGCTATGTCTCCGCGAGTGCACGGAGGGCGCGCGGATTCAATACTTTAAGGATAAACTGCGACAGTCTACCGCAAATACCGACTGTGACTAGATTTGATTTTGCACATATTACGCATCGCCGCTCTGCAATACAATCCACGCTATGTTACGCCATGTCACGCTATGTCGAGCATTGCGTATCACATGACTACACTTCATATTGTCTTACACTCAATATGTTTTATCACGAGTTACACATCGCAGCAAGTGTACTTCATAAAATAGACTAACTTGACGCGAACATATTTTGGAATAAGTTGCGAGAACTCACCGCAGTTGTTCTCGCGGTTAAACACAGTTTCTCATATATTTCCCTCTAGAGGAGTTACCTTGCTCCAGTATAACCTTGCATATATAAGTTATCTTATGGCATATATATTCCTTACAATAAGATACCTCATAGCAAGGATACGGTAAATATTGTTATAAATATCTCACGTGTACTTCACAATAAACTATTTTATTCCGAGCATATTTTGCACTATGCTGTGCATACACTGAAGAGAACAATATCTAGAAAATAAAAAAATACGGTGGACGCTAGTTATTCTTATTAATATATAAAATATTTTTCACAAGAAAATATACATTTTCTGGAAACCTTAACTTTTCATGAAAGTAATTATTCTATGTGTTTATTCTATTTAAATGAAAGTATTTAGATTTATGTGAATAGATATTATTGGTATTCTCAAATAAATGTTTTTTTATGATTTAGACATTTTTCATTTTAAACAAAGTATTTACGAATAACATTTTCCTAAAGCATAATTTTCCCAAAAATAATTTTCATAGTGAAAAAAAGAATTTGTTTTTCTTCATGAAATATGTTTCGAATAACTTCAATACATTCAACAGAGCTTTGAATGAAAAACACGAAAAAATTTCGCCCCCGGCGAAATAGTTGCTACGACCTACACTCAAGTGTAATTCGTAAAAAATTGCCTCCCTCTAAATAAATGCTGCAACCAACTTTCCCTCTCTCCCCCTCGTCTCTTTCTCTTTCTCCCTCTCTCTCCTCCGCTCGAGTGTACTCTATGCTGTAAATTATCTCGCTTGCACGAATGCAACCCGCGGCAAGCAACTTCGTCTCGCATACATCGCGAACGCGATCGGTGGAAGCGAGGTCGGAAGTGGAAGTGCAATTAATAGAACGGCTTCAAATATTCTTCCGTTGATATGAATTCCTCGTTATACCGCGCATTAATTCTTCCCGCTGTTCTTCCCGCCCCTTCTCCAGCTCGTGTTCTGGAGAAGAGAGATGACGGAAGGTGAAAGAAAGAGGAAAGGATAGAGCGAGGACGGAGCGGTTGCACTCCACCGATGCACTCATAGCGAGTGACTGCGCTCTCCAAGATGTTGACGTTTAAGCGCCTACTTGAAGAGGTGGTCTTCTTCAACGGAATCGTGTCGCGTTCTCCAACCTTTCACGGAAGCTGCGCCAGACTAACGATCTTTTCGTCGAGTAGCCGAACACTCGTGTCGTTTTTATCCCGCGAGTACTACATGCCGCGACGATATATTTTACAGCGCGATTGCGTGCTCGCGCTGCAGGAGGTTGAAATAATTTCTCGCCATTCGCCTCGATCACGTTCCATTAAACGTTTATAATATTTAAACGATACTTTTATTAATACACCGCGATATTAATTAAACGATATTTAATGTTGCGGAAGTATTTTGAATTCTGAAATTAAATATTTTTATTTTACTAATGAAGCTAGAGCTTCCTGTTTTTACCACGTCAAATACATGTGCTTGGCGAAATATTATTCCATTATATATATATATATATATATATATATATATATATATATATAAAATTTTACTCACATTTGTTGTTATTCATTTCATTTGCAATAATGTTTTTTTTTTTCTTTTTACCAAACACGCAAAAGTACGTATACTGTCGTGTGTATGTGTATATATTCGTGCCTGTAATTTATTAGTATAATACAGAACATCACGGGATATACATTTGCCATTTGTACATACGCATTATTAATATCTCTAGGAATAGCTATTTTATATTTACGGTATATGTATTTACATGACAAACATAGATAACGTATAAATCCAAATATTGCTAGCCTATAATTATAGAAATTATAGCATTTCCACATTATTGGGCAATATTGACCATATTGCATAATCTAATAATAATTGGGAAGAACGAATGTTTTACACACACACACACACACACACACACAACGTCATATTAGCGTTAATACAATTACGAGATGGAAAAAACTGAATAACGGGATAACCGATCGAGTTATACTGCGTAACATAAAACTAAGCGACGTTTCATCGAATTTCATTGGAAAATATCCTGTTTCCTGAATATGATGCAGTAATCGTTACTTCACTCCATAACGCGTGCGCGCAAGTGCGGTTGATTGAACTTTCCACATTATTCAAATTACCGACAGTGATAATCCGTGTCTCCCGTAGTCGTTCAAGCATAAAACGCGTCGAACATAACCTCTAAACGTGAAGGGAAATCGAACGCAATCAGGGAGAAGAGAAGTCGACGTCTATTCCGTCGCGTTCTTTAAGAGCCACATGCATAAAATCGTATAACACAGTTCCTTCGACTCACCCGAATCTGCAGGTTGGATGTCGTCGCGAAAGCGCAGCTGGTCAACGGTGTCCCTCATGATCGATCGTTTGATCATCCTCCATCCGCGAGCCCCTCGTCGCGTGCAGGCGCATCTCGCTAAGGGGTTCTTCGACGGCAGCTCGCACGCACATCAACCCGACAGCACACTCACGAGCGAATTCGAGATCGCGATTGCCACGAAATCACCGGGACGCGCGCGATCCCCCCGGTGCGGCGTCCGAACACAACGGCGGGAATTCGAATCCAACGGGACGGAAGAGCGGCGCCCGAGCGCCACACTTACGTTGTACGCGGCGCGGCGGCGCGACGGCCGCGATCGTTTCGAACTGACCCGCTCACGACGCTCCGCGGCTTCCGCGCGCCGGGGTTGAAGCAAGGACACGAACACGAGGCTCACCTGGCGTACTGCGACACGTCCGGCACGGGGCCAATTTTGTTTTGGTCCTTTTTCCCTTTTTTCTACCGATTCGAGAGGAGACACAGTAGTACAGTTAGTTTGTCGGTACAGTCCGGATCCGGAAAACACGATCGATCACAGCTATATGTGCAACGAACATTTCGTTCAGTCCAACGCGAGGGCAGCGCACACGGCGCGACGAGAAGAAGCGGCAGGCGCGAACGCGTCGCGAATTCTCAATGAAAACTCCAAGATCATCGTACCATTCGCTTCATGACGAGCCTTTCGAAGAACGCCGACAGACAGCTCACTCCCCCAACGCACGATCGCACTGCAGCTTCGCGCGAGTCGCCGCGAGAGCCAATCACACGACGTCGCGCGGCGAGTCGTCCGGCAATTTTGAACGCGGCTTTCCGTCGTTCTGGAAACGTTCGAACGCGTGCACTATCGAGTCGCAGAGGCCGGGGGGAGGGATACGATCGTCGTTCACAACGACGTCTGCCGTCAGGTCCGTGATGCGACCGCGAGTTCTGAACGCGCAGTGCCGCGTTGATCACGATTTCGCGGGCTCTTCCACCTCCTTCTCCCTCGCGTCGGCGGAAGAGCGTGAAAGCACACAAGATGCGCGCGTCCCGGCGGCTGCGCGTGCACTGCCCGTGCTCCGTTCCCGTTCGGATGTACCCCCCCTCCTCCTCCCCCGTCCCGCCCGCCGCCTCGTCCTGCCGATCGGAGGCCGGCCGCCCACCCGCCGCGAAAGCGAGCGCGTACGGGACCCTATGCTCCGTCTCGTTTGCTTGTCCTCCTTCTCTCCTCCACACTGTTTATCTGCCGCTCGCCGTCTGACCTACGCATGGCGCATCTCGTCTCCGTTTTCCCTAGCTGCCTCTTGCCTTCGGACGAGCCTACCATGTGCGTGTGTCCCCACAATATACGCGCGCACTCGCGGCCAGCCCTTTCGCGACGCTACGCAAACAACGGCCGGGGGATAGGTCTGGACGGGTATTTCCGAAAGTGTTCTTTTCGATATGACGTAAACTGTGGACTAGTTATTTTGTAAAGTCAACACGCATCTGTTCGCGCGTGACGAAAAAGCGGGGGAGCACACACTCTTGCATAAAGACATAATGCACAATGCATAAAAAAATTGACCAATCAGAGTCCTCATTTCTATTGCCACAGTGCAGTGAAGGACTCTGTTTGGTCAATTTTCTTATGCGTTATGCATTATGCTTTTATGCAAGAGTGTGTGCTTTCCGCTAAAGCCTTCAGTTGCACCTTCTGTATACTTCTGGTAAGTTCTTTGCTCTTTTCTCGCCAAATCTCAAATGTTTATCTATTTGAAATTAAGTACGGAAAATACCGCATAAGTACTGATAAAAGGAACAGACTCAAGATCAGTTCATTGCGCTCACTTCAATGTATGAGCGAAAGTCCCAATGACAACGATGTTAACTTCATACATTAGCTTAGTGGCATCCACGATACGAAACACTGGCCGCGATTTTGAGTCAAAGAGTGAGTATTAATTATCGCCACGTATCTCAAGCAATTCAAGAGTACAGCTGTTCTTCCCGATACTGAGTCACGAAACGTGTGATCGTAAGACGTACATACAAATAACAGGTCCATGGATAGTTTTTAGTCTGAGGTTATGAACGTTAACCGAATGAGGTTATGAATATCGACTGCGCGATTAATCGCAATCCCAGGTTAACGCGACAGAAGTTCATCTGCAAAATTTTATATTTTTGGTGATCACACACAGGAAAATGTATGCTGCATTTAAGTAAGTACTTGTCTCATGTATTTCATAAGTTTATATATCTGTAAATCTATCATAAGTTAATCGTCAAATTTATTCAAAGTTCTGTTGCAATTGTTCAAGTCTATTTAAGTATTATTCAAAATACATTCTGAATTCCGCTTAGTTTAGCATGTCAATTAAGAATTATAATAAAATTAAAATTCTCATTAGGGTTAAACCAACTTTTCCTTCTATGAAATTTTACAATATTTCTATAGAGAGAATAAATTTTTCTTTTGAATAAATAAATTTTTCTTTTATATGGTAATATATTCTCCCAAATTTAGGATCGAGTATATTTTTAAGACTATTATCAGGAAAATATTCTTTGTTGAAGATAACCATTACTTAAGAGAAAAAAAGTACACTGAGTAATCGCTTTTCTTAACAGTGAAATAATATTTTTCAGTGTGCATTTACGCGCAAAATTTGACGAGGAAAACGCACAAAAAATGTCTGTTAATATCATCAAAGATCCAAATTGGAGCAAGAAGAGCAGAACAATAAACATCAGACGTGTAAGTGCCGACAGTCGCCTTGTTCAAACCGAATTTCTAATTTTAGCGAAATAATTTATGTTTTTACTTAATATTTCAGAAATTCACATCATTTCGATTGACTCCTGCTCGGAAATCTGCTTCGACAATCTGCTCGGAACAAGCGTGACGGAGAAACGGCACTGACGAATAAATCAGTAAGTAAATTTGACCAATATATTTGCACGAATAAGTATTTATTTATCTAACAATATATATTTGGTGCTGTTACCGTGAATACTTTATAGTATCTTTAAACATTTATTACAATAATTATAATAAATTTTACAGTAATTACATTACTGTGAAACTGTACAGTAATTACATTATTGTACAATTTTACAGTAATTACATTACAATGCAATTATTACAATTATTATAATAGTCACATTTATTATATAACAGTATTATACAGAACAAGTGTTATATATAACACTTATTGAATACTGCGTTCATGCTTCTATCTGAAATTATATAGATCCTTTTTCCCGGAATTTTATTAAAATAAAATATCAGCATTCTCTCGTGTCGAAATTGTACTGCTATCAAGTGAAACGGCGACGGGATGCGTTTGTCAGATTAGTATTGCGTTTACGCGATAACGATTTATGTAGCTCGCGCGGAAAGTCTGCTACGTGACCCCAGATTTCCCGCTCGAATATCGTCGAGCCTCCTCCTCTTCCTTTTCCTCCTCTTCTGCTCCTCCTCTTCCTTCTCCTCTTATGTGCCCTACAGCCAGACGTCTCGACATGCGTCTTACGCACACATCCGCGCGGAAAAAACGTGAGCCCCGTCTCGTCACGTCAACGACTTAAAGCGCGTAACGCGCTTTGCAAACGATCGAATCTCATGTAAAATAAATCCCGCATCCACGTGTCACCTTCGTCGCAAATATCACTTATCAACTATCGAGTTTGTTTTACCTACAGATACACGGAAACTTCTTCCGTAACTCGACGTTGTTATCGCGTGAGCTCTTATATTAATAATGAAGTGTACGGCAAATTATTCGGAATTTATATAAAATAAATGATAATAGAGAGATGTATTTATCCGACCGGTACATAAAGTAAATATTATTCTCATAATTAATGTGTTCTAAAGTTTCTCCGCACAGGAGCAGAATACACAAACATATACACATAGAATAAATATTTCTTTAATAGAATATCATTTTTTCCTTTCTGAATTGCAAAAATTGTTCATATGATACATGAAAATAGACGTTGTTTTTCCAATATCCCGCATATGATGCGAAATTAATGAATGTAAAAAAATAACTCCCGAGAATTTCTATCTCGCATTTGTTAAATTTTGCTCCTGGGGTGTGCAACAAGAACCCCCGAGAGCGATTGTCCTCGAGCGCGGCTGAACTACCAATGCACCGGAAACCGTAGCGGGATGAAAATTACGAGGCGCGATATCAAATCGAGCAACGCCGATAATCCCGTAAAGAAATCCGTCCGTAATCGAGAAAGACAATGTGAACGAGGCCTTAAGGAATCAACGGGGTTCGCGGTACGCGTATATATTATGCAGGCCCAGGTACTACGAGAGTAGCTCGGATGTACCTAAGTATATATTGAGTATCGAACGTGCCCTTGAGGGATAGTACACGGCCGAGCGAGAGGTAGAGGTCGTAGACGAGGAAGACGGAGGAAAACGAGAGCCGCGGAGGTGGAGAAGGAAGGAAAAGGCGATCGAGATTGAATTATGGCTCGCGGCTTAAACGCCGGATTCAAATCGATCCCATATATCACATTACCTGACACCTTTATTCTCCTTTCTGCGGCCGCATTTCGCCCCCGTCGCCGGGCTCCTATTGTTTTACTTCTCTCTCTCTCTCTCACTCTCTTGTTATTCGCCCTGCACGCGACCAGACATGAGCCACTGCACCGTGCACGGAATAATATGCGTTAACCCTGAACGATGCTTCTTGTTTGTGCACGATGAAAAAGAAACATAGCGTACTCAATCGTACGAGTAATCGTAGTATTTATCATCATGTTGATTTCAATATTTGTTTTGCATAATTCGATATGGAGGTGCTTCATTATTTTCACAGTTACAAACCACGTACAAGTAGAAACAAGTAGAAGTAGAATAGATACAAGCAGAAATTTTCTGATTCCACTCTTGTGGTGCTTTTTTCTGTAAAATTATACTTATGGATCCCGAACCCTTTGTATGACTCGCCTTTTTCCTCTAACGCAAATAATTCCGTAACTTGTTGATCATTTCTAGGTAGCGTCACTTTATTTCTCATGTATATAAAAAAAATATATGAATATCAAAGAAATCGGGACAAAATCTTTATTTAAAGGAGGTCTTCATTTTCTGTTCAAAACGTATTTTTAACTCCAATATTTGCAATTTTTTCCACAAAACATAGAGGAAAACATACACTGAGAGAAAAAAGTATTTGAAACTTTTTATTTGTGGAATATGAAATTGATTTCTATGAACTAAACTTTTATCCCACAAATATATTTTCAACTATTCTTTTCTTTTCTGTAGAATCACTGATTATTTGACTATTCCTACAGGAAAAATACTTGAAAATTTGTGAGATATAAAGTTTATTTCTGCAAAATAAAGTATCTCTGTGAATAAATTTTTCGTCTCAGTGTACACAGTTTATATCTCAGTATACACTCAATATAAGCCGCGAATCATACGCAGAGGGTTAAAAATATTTCTTATTCACAAGTGATATAAAATCAGAATCATATTCAATTTTTATTAAATTTATAAACAAAATTGTACTGCAATATTATTTCCCTCTCTCATTACACAACATTACGGAACTTACATCTGATTAATAATTGGAAAGTTTGATTGGATGAATTTACCGTACAGGAAGTCATTCGCATCGCGTTCCCTGCTCAATTCTATCGAGCGTGAAGTTTTAGAATCGTAGGGAGAAGAGTATACATCTGGGAAACGAATGTCATCGTATATCGGAGCCCATATTTTTGTACTCATCAACGAACAGAAACAAAATTTCATCGGGGGGAAATATCGTTCGATACCTGTCAAATATAAAGCTAGCGTAATAAATGTCTTTCCCATCACTCATGTACAGGCAATCACAAAATTCCCAGAGATTATAGTATATTTGGATCTATATATTTAAATATATTAGTATATTAATATATTCAGATTGTTTAGATTGTGATTTTACTTACAACATCAAATGATAATAATAATAATAATAATAATAATAATAATAACGTCAAATAATACATAATATTCATACAAATTTGACGATTTAAAAATAAAAATTTAATCAGTAGATTTGTCAAACAAAGTCTATATATATATATATATATATATATATATATATATATATATA